TAGCAGTGGATTATGTATCTAAATGGATAGAAGCTGAGGCGACCATAACCAATTACCACACTGCAGTGGTCCAGTTCATTCAAAAGAACGTATTCAGTCGGTTTTGCACACCTCGAGCACTCTTGAGTGATGGATGATCGCATTTCTGCAATCGTTATCTTCAATCTATTCTTCTTAAATACTCTGTCAGTCATAAGGTTGCCATGCCTTATCATCCTCAATCCAGTGGTCAAGTGGAAGTCTCCAATCGGGAAATCAAACATATTCTTGAAAAAACTGTTCGACCGAACCGCAAAGATTGGTCATTACAGCTGAATGATGCACTTTGGGCTTACCGAACTGCATTTAAAACACCAATTGGAATGTCACCATATCTAATTATTTACGTAAGGCATGTCATCTTCTAGTGAAATTAGAGCATCGTGCCTTTTAGGCCATAAAAAGGTTCAATTTCAATCTTGATCAGGCCGGCTCTAACCAAAAATTACAGCTCAATGAGCTAGAAGAAATCCGAAATGAGGCTTATGAAAATGTAAAAATTTAGAAAGCAAAAACTAAAGCATTCCATGATAAACATATCATTAATAAATCTTTTGCTTCAGGTCAAAAGGTTTGGCTTTTCAATTCCAGATTGCACCTCTTCCTAGGGAAGCTTCGATCACATTGGGAAGGTCCTTTTTCTAATCACTTTTGTATTCTCTTATGGTGTAGTTGAGCTGTAGGACCCGAAGAATGGGAATTTTTTTAAGGTCAATGGTCAGCGTCTTAAGCCTTACATTGATAACCTAGTCCCAGTCGAATATGTGGATTCCTTTGTTTTGATGGATCCAATTTATGAGGACTAGAAGGATTCCCACATCGTCTAGCTATCGACGTTAAATTAGCACTTCGAGGAAGCAAATTCTTTCCATTCCAAGCTTCCTTATTTACTTATTACTGTAAACCAAAAAAATCTCTAAAAATGACTATGTAGCAACTTGACTTTGCATTCTTCAAGAATCATTTAGATTTCCATTCCAGTGGTCATCGTAGGTTTTTATAATCATAAAAAAGGTTTTGGTAACATGTTCGGGAGTCTTCAAGCTATAATCAATAAAAGGACTAAGCACATTTGCGTTTAGACACCATTTCCCGCGTCCAGACGCCAACACCTGAAGCTCCTGCATCCGGAAGCCATTTTCGGCGTCCGGACGCCATTCCATATATAGCAGCCCAAAGCGTGCATCCATCTCCCAGCGCACGCACCGCTACAATCCACGTCCAGACACCAGCTTTTGCGTCCGGACGCGAAGGCCCATTTAGAGGAACCCGAGCCTAGATGTGTGTTTATAAATAGAGCCCTTCCTATTCCAATTACAATTCTTACTTTTCCATCTTCCAAACCTACGTAACCCACCTTCTAACCTTCCCCACTTTCTCCAATTTGGTTTTAACCTTCTCCATCTCCATTAATCATCAAATTTTCCTCTTCCATTATCATCAATTCATCAAAGAAGGCAAGATTTATATCTCTAAATTGAGGTAAGTTCTTTCATCTTCTATTTTTCAATTCTTGAATATTCCATAAAGATTAGAACTTCATTTTGTGAAGATTGATTATTTTAGTGAGGAATTGTTGTGCTTTAATTCTATATTTATTCTTGTTGGATTCAAATAATCTATATTCACAAGTGTTCTTTACTTTTCAATCTTGCACATCACGTGTTCGATAAAAGTTCTGAACCAACTTCCTTCACTCACATGGTTTCTTCCTCCCCTTTTAAGCGCCTTCGCAAATCCAAGGGTTCTTTCGAGGAAACTACTGATCCGGATTGGTCTAAATGGCCCCTTTAATTTGAAACTACTTTTGATGTTAGGAATGTCTTTCGTAGGCGTGCTAACTGATGAGCGCTGAAAAGTGCGCATTTAAACCCCTTAAACTTAGGTATTCTAGAACCTTTATCTATCTTATTTTCCCGCTTTACATTGATTTCGTGTTATTTCCATTTTCAGGTACTTTTCCCTAAAATAAGCTAACTCAACCAAATAAGAGCAGAAAGGAAGCAACTCTGGGATAAATCAAAGAAAGGAGCAAAGTAGAGTAAAAGGAAGCAAAAGATGGAATTTCAGCAACTTCGATCGATCTCAGGAAAAGTTCGATCAATCCAACTTTCATCGATCTCAGTACTTCAAGATGTATCTAAGCCATGTTTGTCCCTATTCAAAGATCTCAAAGTTTAATTAATCTAACTTCACTCTCTGATCGATCGAACTATTTTGTCCTTATCCAAATGATTGATCTTATCCAACTGTACTACCCTACCAACCACTTTTGTCCTTTTCCCAAAAATATCTTCAAAATATCTCAGATTTGTTTTTATCCAAAAAGGCACCGCCATAAAGGATCGATCCAGCTTCAGTTCGATAGATCTCAGCCATGTTCGATCGATCCAAGCTAAAGGTTCGATCGATCAAACTTCCTCCAGTCCAAAAAAGTTAAATTGTTAGCTCATAAAAAGTTGCCCTTATACAATCATTGGGAGAATATTGGAGTACGTGCCAGATCATTTTTGGGTGTCACCTAACCTACCAAAAATGAGGATTTTAGCAACTTTTGAGGGGGGATTCACACACAACCATAGAGGGAGATTTTGAGAGAATTCTTAGTAAGGAAGCAAAGGAGAAGAGGAGGCTAGAGACACCATTGGAGGCTCTTCATCAACCAATGAGCAGATTTCTTCCATGAAGCTTGCCCTTGAGGGTTGGAAGACATCATCCATGAGTGGCTAGACATCCTCTTGGGGCTAGAGTTAGCCCTAAGCATGCTTTCTACATCTTGATTTATGTATTTTTTAGGGGATTTGTATTGTGATACATGTTTTGACACTTTTATATATATAGATCTTGTTTATTCAATGATTTATGTGGTTTAATGTTTTCAATTGATCATTTCATCTATCCATATGTCTATGTGTGCTAGAATAGATGTTCATGTGTTTGTCTCTATTTCTTGTGTTGTTGATGCATGTCTATGTGTATTAATGCTATAGATCTAGAGATTATCAAAACATAGTGCTTAATGGAATGCTCTTGTGATTTACTTGATGGTTCATACTCATTTCTTGATGGATTGTGCCTCTCCCTTAGTTTAATTAGTTAATTTCATGTCATTAGCTTAGTTGTACTGTAGTTGTTAAATGGGAGGACAATCCATGCTTGTTGTTTGATATTTCATGCTTTTGAATGCAAGTAGCATATGTCTCTAACATTGTGATGTGTTTGGATTGTGAGCTTAATGAAAGGATTAATCGCTTAGTTTGATATATTGTGCTTTTCATTATTTTTTTAGACAATATATGCTTAATTAGTCATCCTTGCTAATTGAAACAACCAAACACACACACACAAATGTTGCAACACATATCTTCCCCTCATTAATCATTCATTAAAGGTGTAGAAAAGTATGCTTAGTGGTGATCTCTAAACCCCAAGATCTCTCTCTCTCTTTTATTCTCTTTATTGCATTATTGTTTACTTTAGTTTAATTTGTATCTAATGTAATTCAACCAACCAACCACTATTTTGATCACTCGACCTACTAACCCTAATCTTGATTCCTCAATCTACTACGACCCACCAATCCCTTTGGACGATCCCTACTTGCCCTAGCTATATTTTTTAGTGAAAGGTAGTAGTGGCAATTTCTAAATGTAAAACTTGGCCACATTCATCATAGCTCTACACCAATATCTTTTGGTATCACACAAACTATTGGATTTCGGGGTTGATGACCCGGGACACACTAAGTTTTTGGTGCCGTTGCCGGGGATTGATTGAAGGCAACGTCGTATTTGTGGAATCAATTAGGAATTAGTACTCTTTTGATCGTGTCTTTACTTTATTTTTTTATTTTTCTTTTAATTACTCATTGTGTTTGTTCTTGTTTGACTAGGTGTATTGAGCTGGGAAGCAAGCAAAGGAGCATTCAAGCAAAGGAGCTAAGCAAAAGAAGGAAAAAGCTAAAAATCTAAAAATTTGCAAAAGCTAAAATTGGAGTTGAAGTGCTAAAGGACCTTTGGGAGCTTTTCCTTACTCAACCCTTAGTTAAATCGTCAGCCCGCGTTGAGGTTTGTATTTCAATCCTTAGATAATTTGTGAGCCCACGTGGAGGCATTTTATTGTTCTTTGCAAATTTTTGAAAGCATGGGAGTATAGGATCATTGAATGTGGAAGATGTTTGTTGTTGATTGATTTGTTGTGAAGGTGAAGTGTTTGTTCATTGCTTGTTGCTTATTGTGTCTTTATGTGCATGCATGGTCGTAGGTTATTAAGTCATACTCTTGTCCCTCTTAATTTGAATTTAGAATCCATTGTTCATACACCTAGGGGAAGGGCTAGTTTTGGTCATTCTACTTCTACAATGGAAGTAAACAATGAGGACCATGTGGAAGACCTTGGTCACATAGACCAACAGGGTATCCTCCATCCCAATGTGCATCATAATAGCATACAAGTACCATTAGGCATGCCAAGACCATTTATTCACCAACCACAATAACAAGGCCAAGTTCCATTGGGAATACCAAGGCCAATGTATGCTCTACAACCACCCATCATCCAAGGAAATCAAGGTGCCTATGTTGCACCTCCAATTGCTAATCCTCCCCTTGTTTTAAGAGATTAGTATGTGCCTAATGAATACAATGCACCCACATGTATTCAATTGCCACCATTTAGACCACACCACTATGAGATCAAACCACAAACCATTCAAATGCTTCCTAACTATAATGGACTTCTAAGTGAAGAACCTTACAAGCATTTGGATGAGTTTCTTGAAGTATGGTCCACCGTGAGATACACAGACATGCTGAAAGAGGTCTTAAGGCTTAAACTTTTTCCATTCACCCTCAAAGACAAGGCAAAATATTGGTTTAACAATCTTAGACCTTTTTCAATAACTTCTTGGGCAGAAATGCAACAAGAGTTCTTGAAGAAGTACTATCCAGTTTCTAAAACCAATGCCATGAGAACTTCAATTAGGGAATTTTCACATGGGGATAGGGAAACGTTCCATGAGGCATGGGAATGCTTTAATGAATTGCTTAGGAAGTGTCCACATCATGGCATGCCCAAATGGCAATTAGTTTAATATTTCTTTGAAAGCTTATCGGATAATTGCAAGGGCATGGTTGATGCTTCCATGGGTGACTCTTACATTGATAGGCATGAGGATGACGTGTGGCGTCTTTATGAGAGTATGAGTGAAAATTCTTTGCATCGAACGTTATCTTCGAAGAATGGTAGAAATTATAGTGGTAGGAAGAGTGTTAGCTTACATCAAGTCGACCACTCCAATGAAATTGCCGCCGAGATGAAATCATTATCTCTATGACGGCCATGGTTTTTAGGCCAGTGCGTCAATGATGAACCGAAAGGATGATCCGATAACGGATCCGAAATGCGAAAGCAAAAACAAAAAAAAAAACAAGACTCTAAGAAGTCAAAGTGACCTTCCATGAGGTCGTGGAACTCAAAGAGAACTAATGTGGAAGCAAAAGATCGAAAATATGACAAATAAGCCCCCAAGGGCAGAATAGTCATTTTACATGGAAATGACGTCCCTAGAAAGTATATTATTTCCAAGACACATCCATGACTTCCCATGAAGTCACGGAACTCAAAAGAAAGTAGCGGAAGCAAATTACAAGAAAACCGGACAAAAATAGCCCCAAGGGCAAAATAGTCATTTTTGAAAAACTATAAAATCGGGTGCTATCGAGCACACCACTGGGAAGACAACAAAAATTTAATCAAGTTGGACTCAAGAATCACTTGATTCGGAGTCCGGATGAAAGAGAAAAGTCAAAACAAAGTTTTGACTTCGCCGTGGCCGTGAATAGTAACCTGGGCAAAATGATGAAATTCGTGTGCCGTTTTGAGGCACTAAACGACGTTTTCTGGAAAAATACGAAAAAGAAACCCCCCTTAAAATAATTTTCCCAAGCTGACCATGTCAAAAGAAAAATTTATTTTTGACGTGAAATCCCAAAAATGCCCTTACAATAGACTTTTTCAAATAGTGCTGATGCGCAAAAGAAATCAGATTTGACACGGGGTTTTCGGGTCCGAGATGACATTTTCTGGAAAAATGTTGTGAAGAAACCCCCCCTAAAATCACGTTTTCTATGTGACCATGTTAAGATCGGAATTTAATTTTTTAAAAAAATTCCCGAAATGCCCCTAGATCAATTTAGGCCAAGAGGGTTAAAACAAAAAGCTACTATATGATTTTTTTTTTTGAAATCTGCCAGAACAGAGAGCGAAAACGGGCTAGTAGATGAATTTTCTGGAAAAACATAAAGAAGAAACCCCCCTCAAAATTGAGTTTCTACCTGACTTGTGAGAGAATTCCAAAAAAACTCACTCTAAAACACACAAAATGCGCCTCCATGAAATCTGGTCATGAAGGACAAAAAGCTGCTACAATTGAAAATAGAAAGTTGAACTTCCCGAGGGATATCCGATACCAAGATGACATTTTCTGGAAAAACATGAAGAAGAAACCCCCCCTAAAATCACATTTTCAAAGCGACCATGCTGAAAGAAGAAAATAAAACTAATGTGAAAAGTCTAGAATGCCCCTAGATCAGATTATGCAACAAAGTTTCAAAATGAGTCCATAGGAGGCTCATTTCACCAAAGAAGAAGGTTTGCCCGAAAATGACCATACACGCAAACGTAACTTATCCATTAGGACGTGCTACAATGGTCCATGGCTTAAAAATACCACTGACGCAAAATTTGACCCCTCAACGGCCAAAAGGGCAAAAATGCACATGAAATGGAAAATTTGAAATTTAAAATTTACAAATGATTTCAAATTGCTGTTTGGCCCTTGGCCACATTTCATGCATGATTAATGAGATCTAATGGAGGTGCCGGGACACACTTTACACCACCCAATTTGAAAATGAACACTTAAAGGCTCGGTTTATACTATTTTAGCCCAAAAATGCAATATGTGAACTAAAATGGAAAAATGAAAACTAAATGGTGTTTGGCCCTTGGCCACACCTCATACATATTGAATGAATGCTATATAATGAATTTCATACATAAAGCACACTCCGGCACAAAATAACATACTAAAACGTATGTTTAAACATGGACTTCAAATGAAATTTGGCCCTTGGCCTTATATCATATACATAAAATGAGAATCAAAAAGTGTGCTTAGGCACACATTACAAGTTTAGAATCAAATATACACATTTGACAAATAAGGCTACAAATGACATTTCAAGCCAACCTTCACAAAATGGAACCTTTAAGTCCACTAATCACCCAAGCATAATGAAAATCTCAACCTTGATTTCTGTACCTGAAATATGCCCCAGTAACTTTGGGGTGAGCAACACAAAGCTACTCCTAGGAAATGAGTATGCATCGACCTACATTTTACAATTTTATCACCTTAAGGTGAAACATGTTAAAGGGGTTCATGCCACCTAACGTTTATGTCGAAATGAGACTCAGGGAGCATCCTAAGCTAACTTAAATCATTTCTAGCAAAAATCACATCATTCATGCAATTCAAGTAACATAGGAACATGTTATACAAGGCAACAAGATATAGATTCTTAAAGTTATCAACTTGAAAACTAAATACAAAAACGACAAAAGTGGGTCATGCCGCCTAACGTCTATGTTCCAAATGAATCTATAGGATCATTCAAAATTCACATTTGAGCAATAAAACATGAATCACAACATCTATGCAATTTAACCAACATAAAAGCATGCTATACAAGCAACATGATATAGTTTCTCAAATTTTTCAACTTGAAATCTAAAGTATGAAAACAACTAAATATAGTAATTTAGCATAATTAGAATTTCTAATACTTCGCATTATGACATAGATTCTTACAGTTATCAACTTGAAATCTAAAAGTGCGAATACAACTAAATATTGCAATTTAGTATAATTAGAATTTCTAATACTACACATCAAGACATAGATTCTCTAAGTTATCAACTTGAAATCTAAAAGTGTGAAATCAAATAGTGGAAGACTTGAACATCACGTCTCGGACTGAATCAGAACAAAATGGTTATTCCAGGCATTAACCCGCTAGGAAGACCACCCTAGTGCGCACTATCTCGACGGGGAGAACTCATATCTCCCGCACTAGAGCCAAACTCTAGCCATATCATAGTAACAATGTCCCAAGTGACTCCAAAATAATAAGTTAACAACTTATATATGTATTAAATAGTACACGAAATTACATTCATGCACAATCAGATTGAAACCACACAATACATGCTCTAAATCCACAACTACTATAGGATAACAATGTTGAATCTTCAGAGTGCGATTCGTTATGCGCTACAATAACATCACATGTCGAATTTTCAGTGTGCAATTCATTACACGCTATAACAATATAATCCAATATTGAAAACATAAACTCATAAATCCACTACAAGTCTAAAATCATGCTTTAAACATACTACCAATGTCAAATACATGATTTAAATCAACAATACAATAGAAACAGAAATTAATTAAATAAACTAATTAAATTCCCTAGGTTTCAAATCTCAATTAAATAATCCCTAATTAACACTTGTTAAACAACATAGCATGGTTATTACATATACCACATCAAAAATTTAATTAGGTCATTAAAGCAATAAAGTGAAATTTAATTAAATCATGATAATCAAATCCCTAAATTCTAAAATAACATTAAATGACTCCAAATCAATATATACTAGTATGCAAGTCTTAGTCATCCCAATTATCAAGTTAAAAACTTAATTAAGCCAACGGAACCATTAAATAGATTTTAATTAAGCCTTTTTAATTAAAATCTCTAGATTTTTATACGCGTCCAAATGCTCTCAAATTAAAGTATGTTAAACGACATGCCAAGACATAATTTAAAAACATATCACAAGTTAATTTCATGCAAGGTACAGCCATGGGAATTAATCTTTCATAAAAGAAAAATATTAAATAAAATGTGCAAATCTTATTCAAATAATCTCAATTTAATATATGTTAACAAATATATTAAAGCCTAATTTATCATCATGCCACAATTCAATTCTATACTATATACATCTTTGAAATTTAAATCTTATACAAAGAAATAAATATTACTAACTTTCTAGATTTGATACAAGGCATGCAATTAAGTTGTGTAATCATGCAAAACACCCAATACAACACATACAAAATCCTAAAACATTTCCTACCTCAATTTGAGATGAAAATCTCAAAGGCCACCAAAATGAAATGGCTCTGAATCCGACGATACTTCGGGGTTTTGTCGGGGACAACGCCGTGAACATTAAACTCTAAAGAGGACCTACCAAAATCCTAACTTGACCTCAAACCCGAACTCAAAATTTGGCCAAAAACGGGTTCTAATAAGGGGGAAAGAAGCGCGTAATCAAGACAAACACAAAACGCAAAGGCACTATGACTTTCTAATAAAGGGAAGGAGGTTTAAATGAACAGAAAAGGGTGGCAGCCCCCCTTGGTCTGCCATGGTAGATTTAGGTCGTGCATAAAGGGAGGAGAAAGTGACTTTTCAATTTTATAACCCCCTATTTATAGAAAATCTTAAGAAGTGCCCCGTAAGGGCCCCGCCGGTTCCGGAAAAGTGAAATTTGAGCAGACGCACTCAAACATCAAAAGTCCGTGAATAAAAAAGATTGATAATGAGAAAATATAAATAACAGAAGAAATGACGTCAAAAATCGAGTTCCGAGCAGAGAGATATGCCCCTAACAAGTTCGGCGGCAACTAGGGCCAAAAACCCAGAAATTGGAGAAAAACGACTAGAAGGCAATTCTAAGAGTATACAACTAGACGAAAAGTGAAAATGAGTCCCGTATGCTGACCCAGGCTCAAAACGAGGTATTTTTGCAATAACTTTCATTAATTGCACAATGGCCCCTTTAAAAAGTGAAAATTGCACTAATGACCCAGAATGATAATATCTTCAAAAAATATTTTCTTAAAAACCCCTGAAATAAAATATCTTTAAAAGATATTTATAAAAAACACCAAGAAAAGAAAAAGATTCTGAAAAACTGTACATCCATGCCCT